AGGTCAACCCTGTGGCCACGGCCTCACGGGGAAGCCTGCTCAGCAGGGAGGCCGCAGGCAGTGGTGGGAAGGAGATGGGCTTAAAGGCCAGGGTGACTTGGGTGGAATCCTGGGTGTGGCCCTTACTAGGATTCTGGGAAGATTAGTTAATCTGAATAGCACTTTGCTCACTTAAAAAATACATGTCTATCTCAGAGAACTGAATTGCACCTTAGTATACAAAGTCCACGGCTGCTTACCTGATGTAGTATTTAGTTCTTTTTCGGGTGCAGCTGCTCATGCCCTTTCAGTCATGGACCTGCAGCTGCCCGTAAGACATAATCAACACCAGGAAGACCATTTATCTATCTGCTACTTAGACATGCCCACTGAGAAATAGGCCTCTGCGTGGATCCCACTCAGAGAACACCCAAGGCTGTGGAGTGACCAGAGAATGGACGGCGAGAATTCTTGGCCATCACTGTAACTGCCCGCTGCCAGCATGGCCCTCTGCAATGGGCACACACGCCACCCATGCACCATCTCCTGACCTTGCCTGGGAGATGGCCCGTAGAGACCTCTCCCCTTGGAAGACGATCCCATGGCCTGGCGCGGGGTTCAGAGCTTACCACTGAATTTTCTCCTGGACCCACAGCCTGCTCAACATAACCTGACATATTCTTTTTCTTCTTCTTCTCTATCTACTTCCTGACTTCGTGTACTTTTCTACTCGCCTACGTCCACAGGTCACACAACTTTCTCTTTTTTTCCCACCCATCTGCCACACTGCTCTATTCCCACGTGCCCTCAATACACACACACACACTCATTCGCTCACTCACTCATACTCTTTAAGAAACCCTGACGCAGACACAGACACCAGGAATGTGTTTGCTGCCATCTCTGGGGCCATGGGGAGGGCAGGGCCACGGGAGGTGGCACTCGTGTACTCCTGTTAGCCTGGCTCGTATTTTTATCATGGCTTTGCTCTGGGCACCCAGGCGGGGATCCGGGCCAGCTTCTTCTCATTCCTTCGCTCTACATCAGGACTCCAGAATAATCTCACCCTTGACCGTGGCTGGATGCTCCTGCCCCATACCTTCTCCCATCAATGGAGCACAGTTTTCTCTCCTTTCTCTCTCTCTCTCCTACCCAGCCAGTGTCTGAGTGTTCCAGTCCCTAAACCTGATTCTGACGCACTCAGGGACACTGTCAACTTCTCCTGCTTTCTGAATGAGTGGTCTGCATAAGCTGGATTCACGCCTTGGCTTAGACTGCTCCCCCCACCCCTCTCCCCTCCTTTTGATTCTAACTCCAAATAAGGAGCACTCCCTCTTACATAATTGGATGTTCCCAGCACAGAAGCTGACACACGAGGTCAGGCGCGCATGCGTGCAGACTTGCCTTTGACTTAACAATGCCTTTTTTGGGCATCTAACTTCTCCCCAGCTCCCTTCCCCCACTCTCTCCACAGTATCAACAATCAAGGGAGATTTACGCAGTTGGCTCAAACTCTTCCAACCCTGGCTTGGAAGGAGGGGTCATGAGGTTGAATTTACTCTCTTTTCCCTGGCAGGCCAAGGACAGAGGGATTGGGCGGGGGCGTGGGGGGAGGGTGGTGTGGAGACTAAATATGTGCGAGAGAGGGAAAAAAGTGACAGCACGCATGCTTCGGAGCTGGGAGCAGTCCCTGGCGTCCTCGGCAGTTATGTATATGGGTCTTTAGAGGGATCAAGGAGAACACAGAAAGCTGGAAGCAGAAGAAATGAACTTGTCTTCTTGGAGATGATAATGCTGGAGGTTGGACAATGATGACATTTTTAAAAGGAGAAGCGTCTTAACTCTAGATGCTGTCTGGGATGGCAGTGTGTCCAGGTCAACCAGAAAAGTGGCAGCAGGTACTCATGGCATCAACATCGACTCTCCTTCTCTTTAGAACTTAAGAGAATCCAGGTGCTCTGCAAATGGATGCAGCTTAGCAGCATGCGGTTTCAGAGAGAAAGAGCAATGATGCTGCCTCCTGGGCCTCAGTCCTGGGGACAGCCTGGGAGAGGTCCACCCTGACCCGGCAGGGACCAACCACACCTCTCTGGGGGTAGTAAGGACAGGTGGAAGGGGTGCTGCAGCTTTGGGGAGGTATCACATTCCAGAGTATGTGCTTACTGAAGCAAAGAGAGCCCAGGAATTCAGCACTGTGCCGGCCTCTTTAAAAATAAAAATGCAAGCTGTCCAGGGGACAAGTGACACAGTCTGGCTTTAGGGTGCCGCAGAGGACTCTGTGTCGTATGTGAGTGGACGCACATTCAAACGCAGTTTTCATTTTACAAACTGACTGGCAGTCTCCTCCTGGGGGATGTGGGCTGCTCTGAGTCAAAGACTTGGGGGCTGGCTTTTATCTTCTCAAGTCATAGGGCAAACGTCTGATCCTGCAGCCGATCATCAGACAAACCTGGGGTCGAATTGCCTGTACATACTTATTAGCTCTGTGATCTTGACCTAACAATCATGATTCTTTGCAAGCCTTAGCTGCCTCACCTTTAAAGTAGGGATTGTAAGGCCTCTTTCACAGGGCTTCTGAGGGAATTAAATGATGTTGGCGCAGCATCTACACAAAGTCAGCTCTCCACAGATGTTGGCTGGATGGTGGATCCTGAAGCTAGTAAGACCATCAACGTCTACACTCTGAACCTCAAATAAGCCCTGTCTCTTCCTTGGGGAGCCGGCACTCACAACTTGCTGGTACAGACCATGGGCCACAGGCATCAGGTCCTCGGAGCCGCTGGAGGGGGTGCTGGGAGAGATTCCTTCTCCATGACCTCCTGATTGCTGTCTTAAGGAAGCTTCAAGAACAACGTAACCCAGCACAAGATACTTGAGGAGAAGGTCAAGTGTATCATTAAAAAGCTGGGAATAATGCTTCATAGAGAAGATGAAAGGCAGTGAAAAGAAGAAGATGAGACTCTTCATTTAACTCTAATTTGTAGAGGCCCAGGGCGAGGAAGGTGTCAACAGCTGGGTTCCTGTTTCTGCTGCAGCTCATACAAAACTAAGTAGTCTTAAGAATAAAGTTCCGACAGGAAGAGATTTGAGGCAAGTCAACAAGTACAAAATGTCATCACCTGAAAACATGTAGGGTGAACAAAGGTTAACAGACCACAGTCATGGAGAACTGTCCAGAAGTACTAAGACACAAAACTCTGTTCTTCTGCCATCCTCACTTTACCTTCATTCAAATTCACTAAAACATTCAAAATTTTTTCCCTTTCACAACAGAAAAAGGTGTCATCCATTTTTTTTTAAGTGAAAAGAGAAGCAGGTCAAGGGGGGATTCAGCCATAAGCGCCCTCTCTGATGTTGTTTAGGGCATGCGCTACATTCACCAGACAGCCATCCACCCAGCTAACCCGAGGTGTGGTTCCCGTGGAACTGTCAGGGTACGGGGGTGGAGAGGGGATGAACTGAGCCTGACTCCAGGCTCTTCTCGTGAGGAAGGGCAGCCCTGACTCCAGCAGCTCTGCACGCGGGGAAGCAGGAGTGCCCGGAGAACACTGCTGCCCCGGGACAGACCTGTGCTGCAGGGGGCCTGGGGGCTGCCTCCTGCTGCCAGACCCGCAGACGCTCTGGTCACGGGCACCAGATCCCCCGGGGAAGGCCTCACAGGCCGTACTGCTGAGAGAACGGGTCCTGTGCGGGTCAGACAGCACAGAGCAACAGCAGCAGTGGAGGCTGCAGCTGGAGACCGACCTGGGTGGGGCACCCTGAGCGGGAGGGAACTGGGGCCACAAGCTGGAGGAATCGGACAGAGAACACACTCCTTATCCTTCCATTTTTCTGAATCGCAAGAAAGAAGACCTAACATGTACTGGAACACTTTCCATGCACACAGACACCTGCAGACTGACACCATGACGATTCCGAAGCTCAGAGAGACGACACACAGCAGAGCAGTAGTATGCTACAGTGGATAAGAATGTGGGCTGTGGAACGCCCGGGGAGATTTGCGCCTCCACCAAGTACTCACTTGAACATGGATAAGGCCCTCAGTTCTCACCCTCATTACACCATAAAACAAGTGAAAGGAGGGACCCATGTCTGTTTTGTTCATTACTGACCAGACCTTAATATTTTCTCAATGAGTAAAGGAAAATGACCAAGACAGTTGCCCAGTAGGAAAGTTAATGTTAATGGATTTTCTACTTATTGTAGAACAGAGACATAATTCTTTTTTTTTAATAAAACTGTTAGTTTCAGAGTGACCTATTAGTATGAGACACACACTAACAGAAGGGTTCAGGACTTGGCTCCCAACTTTGGGATCTGCCAGGATGTCTCACACGGAAGAGGTCAAAGCATGAGCGGCTACAGCTCAAGCACTGTGTGTGTCTGTCTGGTTCAGAGACAGTGTCCCTGGACTCCTTCAGTTGAGCAAAGCTTGCATCAGTTTCACAGTTAGGAAGCCAGCACTAGAAACTCCATCTGCATACAAGTTTTTCAGGAAATTCAACTGGTGTTGGGATCATATAATGCAAATTTTAAATCTCAGTGTCCTATTCCCACCACCACGCATCAGTGCTTCTCCAGCTGTGACTATGTCCACCCCTTCTGGAGAAACTCATCTTTACTAGGGAGCACACGATGGTTTTCTTTTCTTCCTCGTTGTTGGTAGTCACGGTGATTGTACACACAGTGACTGTTGCTGAAGACGCGTCCACTGTAACAAGGTGAGCGGTACGGGGCTTGGGGGTAACCTGGGGGAAAGCTGACCCTGGCGCAGGAGGAGCTCAGCTGAGGCAGCGCCTGAATTCACGGGATGATGCCGGGGCTCCTGCAGGAGCAGGCCCGTCCGCACCTCAGACGACCACGTGATGCCCTGCAGCACGCGTCACCCCACAGCCCTGGGTCTCTCCTGGCTGCAGTCTCCTGGACTCTACACTTTCCCTCTCGAGGTCAGAAATCAGGAACCACCTCCCACCTCCGTCCAACCTGAGGCTCTAACCTGAAGGGGCACCCAGCAGGCCTACCTCTGGATCAGGGTCCCGAAGACAAGATGAAGGACTTTCTGCACACTCTCTGTACACAGCCATCGCCACTGTTCCATGAGCAGCAAAACAAGCAGGTCCAGGGCTGTGTCAGCCAACTCAGTCTCTGTTCCTGGGGATGAAAAGGCATCTGGAGTAACTCGGAAGAGACCCACACTTGAGGACACATTTCAGGGCCCTGGGTCTGCTCCACCTTTATGTCAGCCATCTCACATTTGTGTAATCTATCTGTAGCCAAATCAAGAGACATTTACTGCATCTCTACAAAGTTCAGTGGTAGGTTCTGTCTTTCCTTACAATTTATGTTCCTAAGTCACTGAGTAATTTATTTATAAAATCTTTAAAAAGATTTTATATATAACTATTTTGCCTACTTTCCTGCTGTTTCTTCTGTATTTCCCCCAGGCAGCTGAACACGTTTTGTTCCAAGTAAGAGCTCACAACTGGTGACAAACTGGAATTGGCAAGGCCCGGTCCCTTTCCCTTCCATCCACTCGCCTCCGCAGGGCAGCAGGGAAATGTGCGGGGCAGCAGATGTGGGACTTGTTTTCCATAAGCAAGTGGCTTTGAAAGCAACTCCATTACACAGAGCTGAGGGTTAGGATCCAGGAGACCTCAGTTTGATTTTGAGATAACATGTGGTTCTGGGAAGAACACTGCACTTTTGGTAAAAGGCCATGATGATTACTCATTTCTTTCCTGTTTCAAAGACGGCAAGGGCCACAAACACGCTCATACCCACGCTAAGCAGAACTTTTTCAAACAGATGTACTCTATGGATGGAAGCGTCTGTTCTCTAACCCTGTTCATGGGGTCCCCCTGTCACCTCTGACTTGCCTTTCAGGAGACTGCCCCAGAACTACAGAGTGTTCCTGAAAAAATCCTCTTCTATCTGGCACTACAGCTGTGATTAAAGTTATAATTAATCACAACAGTAACTGTATTAGTCTAGGGCCAGTGGGTTTTCTCTGTGCAAGTGTGCCCAAGCACTGCTCAGTTAAGGGTTCTTGTAGAATGTGAACGATGTCCAACTCAGGTAAATGTGCTAGAATTGAATCTTACTTTCTTCTTAATCCCATCAAGTATATATTCTCCTTTTTTTCTGTACTTCAAGGGGGCAGAGGAGCTGATGTGTCTGCTTTCTGGTTATTTGCTTGAAATGTGATACTCAGCTCCTTGGAAAAATAGCATTCCTCAATGTCCCTCTTCAATTCTCTTCTCTTTGCAAGTTTAGCATGTACCTAGAGCTGCACGGCAACCCACTCCAGGATTCTTGCCTGGAGAATCCCATGGCCGGAGGAGCCTGGCGGGCTGCAGTCCATGTAGCTGCAGAGACACCGCTGAAGAGACTTAGCATGAACACACGCAGGGCTGCCACCATGTGGTGACAAGTGGTCACAGCAGCAACAATAAGTGAAAGCAACAAGGTCCCAGGTCCTCTCGGGGAAAGTGGTAAATTATCTACCATGACAGCACGTGGAGCCTCTCAGGGCTAAAAGAACCGCACAGGAATAAATGACCCCTTTAGAGAGATAATGCACAACATTTAAAGACTTGATTTTGGCTAGAAATTACATTATCTTACCCATCCCATCTTATCTATAATTTCTCATAGTTCTCTTGATGCTTTTGTTCTCATTAACACTTGGTTTACTTAACCAGTGAGACGTGTGTGAAGAGCTGGGGTTGTAAACTCCATCTTTCACAGAGTTGAGCTGAGGTCCACAGTGCGGACTGAACGTGGGCGCCTGAGAAACAATGGTGAAGTCAGCCTTTTTTCCTCTTCTAAGCCCAGGATTTTGTGATCTTTTGTTTGCAAGGGAAGCCTTTGTCTTGCGGGATTTGAAAGTCTTTGTTCTCATAAGTTCTAGCACAGCATATCTACCAGTATCCAGGCTTCCTAACTCGCCCTCTGCAGAGAACACTGACCTCCAGGAAGCACACCTGACCTGCCTCAAATGCTCCTGAGGACAGAGCGGTGTCCTCACCTCACCTCCCTCTGCTCTACCCTGGGTAAGCAGGTGGCATTGTTGGCCATGGCAGTGAACACAACAGAAGGAACAGATCCAGAGGAAAAGAGAAATTCCATTTTGTGCAAGCTGTATTTCAGCTGCCCTGCAGTACATCTGGGCTTCCCAGGAAGTACTAGTGGTAAAGAATCCAACTGCCAATGCAGGAGACACATGAGATGCGGGTTCAATCCCTGGGTCAGGAGGATTCCCCTGGAGTAGGGAATGGCAAGCCCACTCCAGTATTCCTGCCTGGGAAATCCCACGGACAAAGGAGTCTGGCAGGCCACAGTCCATGGTGTCGCAGAGTCAGACACGACGGACAGACTGAGCACACAGTTCACCTAGGTGGAGATTTCCGGTAGGCAAGCGGAAACACACCTCCAGGACTGAGGCATCACCAGCACACATGTCAGGGCTGACAGTGATCAACAGAGGCGCTCACAGGACAAGTGTGCAGAGTAGGGACAGAATGAAGCTCTGGAAGGCTGAGGAGCCGACAGAAGGAACACAGGAGGGATGACAGGAGAGACAGGAAGACCGGAAAGTGGTAACACAGACACCCAAGAAGACAGGTTCTCAATGAAGGGAGCAATCCCAAGATAATGCCAATGTACATTCAGTTCAGTTGCTCAGTCGTGTCCAACTCTTTGCGACCCCAGGAACCGCAGCATGCCAGGCCTCCCTGTCCATCACCAACTCCCAGAGTCCACCCAAACCCATGTCCATTGAGTTGGTGGTGCCATCCAACCATCTTATCCTCTGTCCCCTTCTCCTCCTACCCTCAATCTTTCCCAGCATCAGGGTCTTTTCAAATGAGTCAGCTCTTCACATCAGGTGGCCAAAATATTGGAGTTTCAGCTTCAACATCAGTCCTTCCAATGAACACCCAGGACTGATCTCCTTTAGGATGGACTGGTTGGATCTCCTTGAAGTCCATTAGGAACAACTTAAATAATGACACTACTATTAACAGAAGCATGAGCCTTACCTCGCTGGACTGGACACCCTGCTTACGCCCTGAGTTCTTCTGATCCACTCAGCCCTGGGACTGTGCCATTCTGTGCCCTGGCACCCGACAGAGCCGCCCAACAGTCATAAGCCAGCGGACACGCTAGGCTCCCCACTGTCACTCACCTGGATCACTGCTGCTGAGGCCTTGGGCTGGAGAGGGAGCATCTGACACGCGACCGCCCACACACCCCTCAGCGGTCTGTTCAGAATCTCTTCCGGGAGCGTCTGCTGGCTGCACTTCTAGTAACTTTGCCTGTTTTTCAATAAAGGATTCCATCCCAGACACAGAGAGGGTCTCTGACTCCTGAGGAGAGAGCAAGGGCTGTGTCATAGGCAGGGTGTAGGGAGTGGGGGGCACTTGCCTCACTGTGGCTCCCATCACTTCCCTGCACGTGTCTTGAGCAGAAGACCCCACTGACCCTGTGACCAACTAAGGAAAAGGTGCTTGTTTTAACCTAAACTGCAAGGAGAACAATGCCTCCGTCGTTTTGTTTGCTACAAAAATCGTGTTTCCTTCCAGGAGCTGGCTTTCTCATTCTATCATCTATTATCCCAAGCCTATTACCCTTGAGAAGCCCACCCCCCTTGAGAAGCCAACCAACCAGCCCAGAACTCACAGGAATTCCAAACCAGTCTGAGAAAATACTCCTAGAATAAAAACCACCAACCCGGATGTAGGTTGAGTCCTTTAGGAAGGCACTCAACTCCTTTCTGATTCTGGAGAACATCCCAACTGCCTATAATGGCAGGACTGACCTCCTAACTGATGATCCCAAGAATTCTCTAGGGATTCTCACCACACTGCTGTCCTGGAGACAGTAGAGAACCTTCTCGTGTGCCTCAGTTATATTCAGTGCTGGAGCAATTTTACTGGATGAGAACCTCAATCTGGATCTGGTACAGAAACAAAGAGTAGAAACAGTGTGTAATTCATGGTCTTGAAGGTCTACGAAGGGCTGACAAGTATTAATACCTCAAAACAGGCATGTCCACACTTATTCTTGGAAGCTTACGGTGGTCAGAGTTGCCAAGAGACACCTCACTCTGAAATCCCCCAAACAATAAACATTCTTACACACAGTCCAACTCTTGCACTGAGCTATGCTTACAATAGGGCTTCCCTGGTGGTTCAGAGGATTAAAGCGTCTGCCTGCAATGCGGGAGACTGGGGTTTGATCCCTGGGTTGGGAAGAGCCCCTGGAGAAGGAAATGGCAACCCACTCCAGTATTCTTGCCTGGAGAACCCCATAGACAGAGGAGCCTGGTAGGCTACAGTCCATGAGGTCACAAAGAGTCGGACACGACTGAGCGATTTCACACACACACACACACACACACATGCTTACAATGCGCCTGTGAATGGGCTTTTGCTAATGTAAAATAAGGACTTGTCCATCACAGTTGTATCCCACAGGCTTAGAAGAGTGGCTAGCACATACTGTGCACTCGTTAAAAATTTGTTGAAAGTTAAATAGACAAGTGCCACAGACCAAGGTTGTCCTTGCTCTTCACACCTTTTTGCACATCCACCATGCCCCTTGTGTTCCAGATAAAACCAGAGAAGGAATCACGAGGGCTAACCTCAATGTTGCTAGAAATAGGGTTCTTATAAGCACAGGCAACATGGTTACCCTTCAAACTACAGGCCCAGTGAGGGGGGAAAAAAGGCTAAGAATTGTGAGGGTTATTGCCAGCCCATAAGACATGAACACAGAGAAAAAGACAGTGAGACAGACACATAAACATCCTCCAGCCCCCTGCCTCCCACCAGCACTGTCTCTGTAACGGCCCGGATACACACAGGAGGTGTCCGGGAAGGGAAGCGGGGTGCCCCTCCTCTCCGCCTGCTGGCTGTGAGAGCTGCCAGTGCAGGCTGGAGCAGTGGCAGTGACCAGTGACCCCTCAAGGCGCCCCTCCTAGCCCGCTCCTCTTTACTGCTAGTGTACTGGACTCCTGAGCCAGAAACCGTGACAAACGGAGATCAGTGGTAAGCCTTCATTCTCAAAAGAAAAGAAACGCTTCAATTTCCCAAGGGAAAAAGAAAAAAAAACATCCATATTCTAGAGTTTTCCCTCTAGTCAAAATTACCTGGTCAGTTTGGGCCCTGGACTCCCAGGGCAAGACCAACATGACGCCAGGCTACCTCCGCAGGACCTTGGGCTTGGGCCACAGTCTGACTTTGCATAAAAACAGGCACAGACGACCCCTCCCCTCTATTCTAGGACCTAAGACCAGGGATGGGCTTTGACTGAAAACTGGGGATCCCCTGAGAACTGGGAAGGGTGTCTCACTTGGCAGCCTTCTTGCCTTCTGTCTGGGGCTTACTGTCTGTCTCGGCCTCACTCAGCTCCTCTGTGGGGCTCTGGGGCTCAGAGCGAGGGAACGCTGTCTTCAACGTGTCCACGATAGCACTCACCACCATCTGCAGGGGTCAGAGAAGAGGGGTTAGACAGGCACCGCCGAGCAGCAGCAGCTGTCTCAGGTGTTTTCTGCACCCTGGACGAGCAGCCAGCTGCCCGGTCTAGCAGAGCCTTCTCCCCGCGCATGGTGAGATACCAGCTGATGTCTCAGTGCAACTCTCTCCCCTCTCCTCCACAGCCACGAAAACCTTCTTCCTCACAGAGTTAAGACAGACGATGGAGTCCATGGGAAAAGAAGCCAAAATAACATGACAAGTAAAAATCTGGGAGTTCTGCAGGCTGGTGAAATGCTTTTCACTTCCAATTTCTTTCTTTTCATACAGAAGAATGATTTTTAGTTTTCAAATTGATAATACTTTCACCAAGATGTGACAAAGGGGAAGTGATACAGGTAAGAATATACAAAGAAAAGGAGGAGTGAAAAGGATTATCAAAATAAGGAATAGTCTAAAAACTTTTACGATAAAAAAAAACAACAAAAACTGGTTTTCCAGTTAGTTCAAACAATTCCTCTTCTTTAACTACAGAAAGAATGGCAAATATCACTCTGGTTAAAGTAAAGGATCTGGAATTCATACAAACTTCTCTATTTATACGGATGAAATAAAACAATCTTTGCTGAAGAGTAAGAGCTATCTCTATTTCTCAGAATGGGAAAACGACATACAGATTTTTGCTAAAAAGAAAGAACAAATGAAACCCTAAAATATCAACAAGATGGAAGGAAACATTGACCTCTCCTTTAGTAACTCTCGCTATTAATCAACATTGCTGACTCAGAGCAGCACAATGCTTGCTTTGTCTTATCCGTTAGTCCTCCTTGGGGAGCACAGCCGGCACAGCCAAGGCAAGACTGAAATGGTCAAGGGGGACCGCAGTGAGACCAGGGGACAGCAACTCAGGGAAAGAACACAGCGAACTGCATGGATGTGGAGAATGTAGCTGAGAAAACACAGTTCGCTCTCCAGGTTCACAGAATACCAGTCTGCCGGGAGACCCGTACCTGCTCACTCTCATATCATTAGAAATGAGTACAGTGCATGGCTTTGAGTGGGCGCCCAGGGAGCAGGTGTGAAAATAAAAATCAGTGAAGGTAAAAAAAAAAAAAAAAAAAATCAGCGAAGGAACACATCAGCATAGGTTAGCAAACCTGCAAGGAACTCCAAGGTTTCACCTCGTTTATCCCTTCCTAGTTTGCAGTCTTCTTATAGCAGTCAATGTCTCCGAACATCCCTCACTTGAAGTCCCACTTTATCATTTTATCTCCTAAAGTCTAGATTGAAGAGGAGACCCCTCTCTTCTGCCAAAGAGTCAGTGCTTTCTAACCTCTTACAACACATGCATTTTTGATGAGCACAAACTCAGACTTCTGTCCTGGAGAGGTGAGAATCAGTGAGCAACCACTGCTCACAGGCTCCAGCGTGGTGCTCAAATGTTCTACTACCGTCTCCAAAGGTTCCGAGATACCATCTGGGAACTTGTTCTCTAGCAGAGAATCACTACACAAATCTAAATCCAGCTCGGTGTCTGGCCTAAGGGCACCATCCTGAGTGACCAACATTGGGAATGACCTTCATCGCCATAAGAGGCCTTCCTGCCCCCGCCTGTCCGTGGAGATGTGGACTGATGCTTGCACCCTTTCCCTGGAATCACAGCGTCATGACATCCCCAGGAGACCTGTGCACGCTTACAGTGTTGACAGTACTGACACTCATGGCTGCTGATGGTCATTCAGCAATGCTGACCTCACCAGGACTGGTAGCAGGTCTGCAAAACCCCAGTCCATGTTCCACTTATTCCTCTGTGCTGCTCCCCCTTCCCCCAGTTCCCTTACCTTTCAAACATGCCTCCCCCGCTCCCCGTGAGAAACGAAGGCTGAGCACGCAGTCCCGCTCATACCTTGTCTATTCTGGAGACCACAAACGGCTTCTTGACAAAGGCAATACGAGCATCTGTGTTGAGAGCAAGGAACTCCTGCATCTCCTCACTGTTAGCAATCTCAGGAATGGCACAGAGTTGCTGCAAAGACACGAGAAGGACTTCAGAGAGAAACTCCAGGCCCCGGGTCTCCCCACCTTGGTTTGGGTGTCTGGCGGCTACAGTGGCAGCACAGGATGCTGACCTTGAGAAATGATTCCAAGAGGCTCTTGCGGGCTTCCACCCTGTCACTGTCCATGTTTCCAAACGGAAGATCTGGAAAGAGCTTTTTGGGGCCCTTCACATCTTAAAAAAAAAAAAAAAATTAATTGATTAACATTTACTAAGAACTAGTCCATTTATTACCCATCACATATATAAGACACAAATGCCAAATGTATTTCGTGGGGATTTTTCCCTTCACCTGTGAACTGAGCTGAGAAGTGACCTGAGGTTGGGGTGGGAGCTGGGTACCAAGGCCTGGGCCTCATCCCTTCAGAGTCCCTCCCCTGAGGCCTCCCCTCCATGGGATTTTTTTTATTTCAGGAGTTAGAGATATAACCCAAGGACATAATACAGACAGCCTACTTTCATTATTCATGATAATATTAAGGCATAAGAGTTCACTATAGTAGTGATGCGTAACAGCCCTGAAGCCTAACTGCCCAAGTTTAAATTTTGGCTCCAATCTCTGCTGTAATAATGGCCTTAGGCAACCTGCTTAATCTTTGCTTTTTTCTGTAGAATGAGGATAATGATAGTATCCATCTTGTAGACTGTTATTAGAACTAAATGAGCTAATATGTATGACATGCTTAGTAGAGAACCAGGCATATATTTTCAGTATTAACTATTGCTATTAAGAAAGAAAACCTATAACTGAAATCCATGATTTATGCCACAACTTATTAAAAATGTTTGAGTGATCATGGGTTTCCCTGGCTGCTCAGCTGGTAAATAATCTGCCTGCAATGCAGGAGACCAGGGTTTGATCCCTGGGTTGGAAAGATCCCCTGGAGAAGGGAATGGCTACCCAGTCCACCATTCTGGCCTGGAGAATTCCATGGACTATATAGTCAGGGTCAGACATGACTGAGCGACTTTCATTTTCACTTGGCATTTTCTTAAAAAACAGAGTAGCTGCTCACCAGTTTTTATGGTTTGAATTAAATTTTATGTTTTCTTATTGTTCCTGTGCCTTATGAGAACCAAACGGCACACCAAGAAGCCTGTCATTAAAGGAAAGGTGGCAAGGATTTCTGGAAAACAGTTTAACATTTAACAGCAACCAGTCTATGAACCTGTTTAACTCCTCACAGGCACAGGTGGAAATATGAAAGTTTCTTTAAGCTTAAACTGGATGGGGCCCCAGAACAAGGCATTCAGAGGCAAAACAGTACCCTGGATAGCATGTCATGAGTGCTGCCCAGCACTAAAACCCCAGACACCTAAAAGCAAACGGAAGGAGCACGGGACCCTCAAGGCCACGTTCTCCCTTCCCACCCTCTTCACAGACAACAGGCCTCCAGCCTCTCAGATCAGGGTGGCTGGATGTGAAAAGCAAGCAGGCATTCTGGGGCTGGGGGAACTCCTGACTTTTGATGAACTTTCGGAGATCCGATCTCTCCTCCAGACGGGTCTGCAGGTTCAGGAACTCGCGGTAGCGGCGGTTCACGGTGTGGTAGGCCACCTGCTGCAGGCCGCCGCTGTTCTCAGCGTCGAGGGCCGTCTCGTACTGTCAAGAGAACGTCTGTTGGCTGCACCAGCTCACTGGCACACAGTAAGAGCAGGGCAGGGTCAAGGGAGCACGCGCTTCCTGTTCTGTCCCCGAGCCTCTCAGGTCTGACTGCCTCTCTAAGCTCTAACCAACAGCTCAAATCCCAGGGGAGCTGCAGTATGCAATGAGAAGCCTTTCCCAACAGAGGTGGTCCAGGAAGTGGGAAATGAAATTCTACTGCCTTTCACTCCTCCTTCCACCTCAAAGTTCTCCCTGCAAACATTACAGCCACTTTCAAATCCCAAAGACGGAGGATAAAACAGTACGACACTGATAATGATACCGGCTCTCTCACCCCTAAATTATGAGGCTGGGTGTTATGGGGAGATAACCATCTTGTCATTATCCTCAAACCAGTGATTATCTACATTACTTGAGGGAAGAACAAATAATCCAAAACAGCTGAGAAACAACAATCATTTGTTTGCCTGGACTACACTAAAGGAACATGTGTTTTTGTTCTGCTTGGGGCTGATTAATTACTAATCTTGGAGCGACACTGACTCTTTCTTCCCAAGTACAGATCATCTGTCTGTATGATGAGAAGACATGTGAAGAATGGAGATGTCTTATGGGGTCACAGTCAGCTGTCTTCATATGTGAGGAGGGCTGGCATGTGGGAAAAGACAGCAGTGCTGAATGTCCCCCCAGAGAGAACGCCCCGAACAGCATGAAAGCTGCAACTTCATACCTACAGGGGGGGACTGTGTAAGATACAATGAACACTGTGGGAGAAGGATACATGTGCTTGTTCTCATCAGGAGTAGGTTAGTGTTTCTGTTTGGTTAAGGTACTCTGTGGGCAAGCAGTGGAAGAGTGATGAGACTGAGGCTGGTGTTGAAAGCTTGTCTAGAGGCAGACAGGGGTGTTCATCACGAGTTGGAATGAGCAAAGCAGTCTCTCAGGCCAGTACTGAGAAGGAAAGGCCTAGATAAGAGATGCCTGTGGAATTCAGGTGAGGGCTCTCACATTCAGAGCCCCTGAGAGCAATGATGCTCTCTGTGGCTATTCTACTCCGTGAAGGACACTATATAAGTACGTCTCCAAACATGGCTAGGACTCAGAATCTCTTGGGCTGCAGAACCTGCTGTCAGAATATGGATTCTGATGGGTGCTAATGTATTTTTAATGAGAATTTCCCAAGAAAGAATGGGTCCCAGGATTCCTTATTTTTTAAAAATACAACTCTCTGGGAAACTTGGAGGCAGCCTATATCAAAACCTGATAGCTCAGCTGGTAAAGAATCTGCCTGCAATGCAAGAGACCCGTTTGATCCTGGGTCGGAAAGATCTGTTGGAAAGGGATAGGCTACCCACCCCAGGATTCTTGGGCTTCCTTTGTGGCTCAGCTGGTAAAGAATCTGCCTGCAATGTGGGAGACCTGGGTTCCATCCCTGGGTTGGGAAGATCCCCTGGAGAAGGGAAAGGCTACCCACTCCAGTATTCTGGCCTGGAGAATTACATGGACTGTATAGTGCAACTGAGCGACTTTCTCTCTATCAAAATCAGCTTTAGGGAGATGCTGCTTGAATCAAACCAGCCACCTGATACAGGCACCCCCTTCCTATCACTTCTGCCAAGGAGTTCCTACTACCACACTTAAACATCTCCAGGGAGAGGGACTTGCCACCTTTCGCGATATATACAGGTAAACAATCTTCCTTTCTAAAACAAAGTATAAAGGATGTTAGTATTTAAAAAAGAAATTAGCAAGGAAGTAGTCTGGAAAGGATTTCTGGGCTGTATCCATTAGAAAAATATGATTCCCAACACAGTGAGAGCCCTGAGATTCTAGGACGGTCTGCGAGAGTGTCATGGAAGCCTACTCATGGGCTTCAGACCCTCCACAGTGATACTGGTTGAATTAACCAGAGCAAACTAAGAGCAGACTTCCTCCCTCAAAACACTGGCTTCACTGACTGCTTTCCAAGTCCATTCCCAGACCAGAGAGGTGGCTGCGCACTAAGTCTGTTACCTTCACCATGTAGAGCGTGTACAGGTGGAAACCGGAGCCACTGTGCTCTCGAGCAGTAACGGTGCCAGTGATGCGAAGGTTCTGGATGACCACGGGGCCATCTGGACTGCCCAGGGGCTCAAAGTTGAAGGTGGCTGAGCTGAGGGGTCCAGGTGGAGAGGAGGAAAGCAGGACCTGTGGCAGACTGGAGTCCAGGGAGCTCCCACCATTGGTGAGATCCTTCTCTAAACACGAGGGGCGTGGGGGACATATCCTCTCCGGACTGGGCAGCAAAGTTGTGAGAGAGGCGCCATTTCCCTGCTCTCCCTCCTTGTCCGCTGTGTCAATCTGGATCTCTGGGCAGGAATTCAGCATGGAGGCAAGCAGGCCCGGCTCCGTTTCTGTTCCTGGACCCTCCTCAGCTTCCGCTCCTTCTATTCCTTCAGGTCCCTTGCCATCCTTAGGCTCCAGAGGCTGGGAGCTCCCAAGGGCACACAGGGCATCCTGAATCCTGGCAGAGAGGAAGGGGCCTGGAGTCATGAGCATGATGGTTTCTTTGCCCAGTTCAGACAACGGGGACTCCAGCTCTGCATCTTCAGACAAGAACAGAGGCTGCAGGAAACGAGAAGAGCTGTTTCCGACTTTTCTCTCCTCGAGCACTCCCCCCAGATCTCCCTCCAGCGCTTCATGGCCTTCTTCAACTTCTGGGGAGGGGTGTGAAGGCCCATCTGGCTCACTACAGCTTAGGAGCATCGGGGCTGCTGCTGCAGAAGGGGCTTCTGCGAGACCCTGGACCTCGACAATAAGCGGCAGAGATGCGGGCACTGAGGGCTGTTCCAGGGCACTGGCTGGGCAGCGTGGATTAGCCACTCCTGCTGGCTTAGTCCTGGCCTTGGAGAAGATGCCCACAAGTACAAGGTGGATCCAGTCCGGATCCGAGAGCTTGCTGATCAGCGGTAAGATGACATTGCAAGTAATGAGTTCCACCACGATGTGCCTGCCGGTCCGGGTCTCCAAGTGCGGCTTTGGCACTAGTCCTTGAAGCAACACGTTCACCATGCCCCGTGTGTAGGTGACCTCAGCGCTAGGGCTCTGCACTGCAGGATGTGGAGCGCTGGCCCGGCAGTAAGCCTCCCAGAGCTTGGAGGGCTCCCCTGGGCCACTCTGTTTCCCTGAGGCCTCCTTCGCCTGAATATAGCTCTGTAGATGACAACCGCAGAGAGTCAGAACCCTCTGGGCAAGAGCGTGGCTGTCCACCCTGGCCATCCTCCTCCGGAGCTCCTGGACCAGCCCTCGCATGGCTGCCTCCATCTCCTCCTCGAAGGCTGGCTCCTGGCTCACCGTGCGGTACCAGGACGACACGAAGTCCCGCATGATCATCCGGATGGTGCGGTCGATCTCCTGTTCCAGCTGCCTCTCCGCCTCGGGGTTTGGGGGGCAGACGGCCATTGGGACGAAGCGCTCCAGGTGCAGCCGCCCTGAAGCCCCCACGATGGCGTCAGAGCCCAGCCATCCTCCCAGCACCAGCAGCAACGCAGACAGAAGGCAGAGAAGCCACACGTTGACCAGGAGGTGGATGACCAGGAGCCAGCCGAGCACGGCCCCCAGGGCCAGCAGCTTCCGGCTACTCAGCAGGTGACTGACGCCTGGCCCGGCCGGGGGCTCCGGCGCCAGTATCTCCGTCTCTGTCTTCATGGCAGGCGGGCGGGGGCTCCCCGGACCAGAGCCCCCCTCCCTCACGTCAAAGCCAGCGATGAGGGCGCCTAATGTGGCGCGGACACAAGAGCCGGGGGCCGGTCAGGCCTGAGCCGGGTCGCGGGCCCTGACGTCCTACAGGCAAGGCCGGGCGACAGGGGCGGCTCGGAGGCTCGGCCTCGCCGCAGCCCCGTCCGGCCGGGACGCTGCCCTCGAGGAAGACCCTGGGACCTTCATGGTGCGGGGTCGGCGACCTGCGGCCTCGGAGACCGGGCAGGGCCGTAGACCGACCGAATATTTAGTGAGTCCACCATCGAGGTGCCCGCAACCGACTCGCGCACCGTCTGGCTGAGCCCCGCCGCCAGTGAACGCGGTGGCGTCTCCTTCGCCGCCTAGGAGGGGCCCCGAAGCCGGGTACCTAACCTCCACCAGCCCTGCTGCTGTTAGGGCTGCCGGCCGGCCGGGCGCCGGCGACTACTTCCGGGTCGACGTCAGTCGGAGCGCGGCGTGCGGGGAGAGCGCCGTGCGATCCGCTCCCCGGCTCGGCTCGGCGCTGCACGGCGCCGCCTGGTGGTGAGGAGGCGCCGTGACTGCACAGCGCGAACAGGTCTGGGCGCTGAGATCTTGCAGAGCACTAGCTCGCCAAACAGGTGCTTCATTCCTAGCGGTGCGGACCTGCAAGCAGTCTTGCAGGTAATGCACCTCCAGACTCAGTGCGAGCTGCAGTGTTTAAATGAACTCTGCTAACACCTCCTACCGTTTAGGCAAGCTCAGTAATCCAGCTTGTTTTAATCTCAAATGGGCATTTTTTTCGATGGCCTGATACACTTTAACATTCACCCCACATTCCACAATGCCCCTCTCTCATCCCCAATACCTAGCTAACCAAACTTGAGCTCATGAATCGCAGAATACAAGGCATAAAACATTAATACAGAGATAGATGTATTCCTAAAATTTCATAATACTATATAACAAAATAATTTTTGTGGTTTGGGTTATTCATCAGTAGCTTCACCCCGAGCAATCAAGTCGTTTGATTATCTTTGTTCAGTCCCTGTGATAGGTGGTGTGGAGGAATAGAAGTGGTGAAGGATCCTCAAAAACCTTGCAGATAACTGGGGAGATGAGCTTGGGTCCCAACTGAAAATTTAATGACACAATTCAGTATGGGATATGGTGAAATGCAGATTATTATATGTATGAGGGCTGCAAGTTATTACACAGTAGTTTGTATGGTTAAGGGGAACCTCACAGAGAAGGGATCCTTTCTGCTGCCTCTTCAAGGGTATTGCTCAGTCCTGAATTGTTGTTCAGCAACTGAACAACAGTCCTATCCAATTCTTTGCGACCCCATAGACTGCAGCACCCCAGGTTTCCTTGTCCTTCACCATCTCCCAGAACTTGCTCAAACTCATGTCCATTGAGTTGGTGATGCCATCCAATCATCTCATCCTGTGTCATCCCCTTCTCCTCCTGCCTTCAATCTTGCCCAGCATCAAGGTCTTTTCTAATGAGTCAGCNATTCATCCAGCCTGGCATTTCACATGATGTACTCTGCATAGGGCTTCCCAGGTGGTGCTAGTGGTAAAGAACCAGCCTGCCAATGGAAGAGATGCAGGAGACGCAGGCTCAATCCCCTGGGTCAGGAAGATACCCTGGAGAAGGGCTTGGCAACCCATTCCAGTATTCTTGCCTGAAGAATCCCATGAACAGAGAAGCCTGGCAGGCTCCAGTCCATAGTACTGAAGTGACTTAGGATGCACACACATGATGAGTATTCTTTCCCACCTGTACCTGAAAATACATATATCTGAAAATACATATGAAAAAAAAAATATAATAATTTTATCTCTCCATCTAACTTTACCTTTTGATTTATCTGTGTCCCTGCAGTTGACATTATTTCATTTGTTTAAAGTCAGTCATATTTTGTTATATGAATGTATTACTTTTTCTTTATCCATTCATCTGTCCATGTACATTTGCTTACTTCCATACCTGGGCTATTTTGTGAATTGCTGTGGTGCACAATTGTGTGCATGAGTTTTCCAAAATCTGATTTTCTCCACATTTGCTCTCAGAAGTTGGACTGCCAAATCATATAGTTCATCTGTTTCAAACATTAAAATGCACAGCTAGATACATCCCCCCAGCAACAATTACCAATAAAATTTCACCAGCACTATATAAGAGTCTTTTTTCTTCACCCCACTGTAGCATTTTTTGTCTCTAGATTTTTTTGAGAGTGGTCTTTTGGACTTCTCTATGGCGATAGATTGTTGTCATTTTGATTGCCTTGTGTCTAATTATTCACCTAATTGAGAACCTTTTCTTGCACTTCCTTTAAAAAAATTATAGATTGTATTTACCTCGTGATATTTTCTTCTGATAGTTTGACCTATTTTGCATTTTAATTCTTTATCTCTGGAGGTTTCATGAGATCTAGTGTTATGGAGAGCTCAACAATTTTTGTGAATATTAAGTACTAAAAGGAAAACCTTTAAGGCTGCTGTTGTGGGGGATTGCCACAGGACTGCAGGACACCCTCATGCTCAAAGGTGGTGACCTTGCCAATGAAAACTTTATGACAGTTTTAATTTGGATCTGTACAATATGCTGGCACATACTTAAACCAACACCCAAAAACTTTAAGGATGCTGTCTGCCTACCAACAGCATAGACGGGTTCCATCTTCTCCAGCCCCTGTTATCCTGGTATGACATATCAAACCTCAAAAACTCTTATCTGTTGCTATGAGTATCAATTTCATTTTAATTCAGTTTAAACAGAGCAAAAACATCAGGGGGACTATTTTTTCAGGTTTCTTCAGGGAGAAAAATGAAACTTGGAAGACAAAATACATGCAGTTAATGGGCTCCATGAGTCACTAATTGTTGGCAGGAATTTTTTTCAAGTGTGACCTTTCATTCATATAATAAGAAATACAGAATTATAAGAAACTAATTCAAAATGATGGCTTGTTTCTACCTAGAAAAATCTGAATACTAAGGAACCAATGGAAACCACAAAAATCAGGGTGCCAAGGTTTTAAGAATAGTTTAGGTTCGCAAATAATAGTATGCTTGTAATCTCAACAATACATTTTCCTCTGATAAAGAATATACTTTTCCAGAAGTCTTCCAGTGTGGTCGTCTCCTGCTGTAAGCCTTGGATGCTGGAACCAGGCCACTTCCTGTCTGTCTTTACAGGACACTGGGCTGCACTCTAAGAAATTCCTGGCTCTCCCCTGGATCCTGACCATCACATGGCTACATAAGTGGTAACATTTTTGTTTTGCCAGCTGAAATGTTTAATGACACAGATTCTTTCAGTTTCCTGATGTGGGTGAAGTCTGGAGCCCAGTGACGATTTCTTAGTCAAGAAACCTACATGCTAGTCCACACGAGGGTGAGCCCCCTCCAACAGTGAGACACCCTGTATATGTGTGACCTGTGTGAGCAGCTTTAAGATAGTCTAAGCCTGACCAAGGTCTGTCTACATGATAGATTTAGACCTCTCCAAGTCCTGTCTACACTGATGACGTTTAGACTTGACCGTGTGCTTCTACGATGAGAACATTTAGACCTGACCTTGTTCTGTGTGCACTGGGACATGGAGACCTGGGTAGAGACCTGGCTTGGCCTCTGTCCTGGAAAACTCCGCGCCTGCGCCTGAATGTCAGAGCTCAGATGTCGGGGGCCTGGAGCTGAGGTGGGCTTCTCTGGGCATCGTGCTCCTCTCTGAGGGGGCTCCATGGCCCTCCCAGGGGCAGTGCTGCGGCAGGCTCTGAGTCTCTCCCTGCCAGGTTCACCTTCCCTGGGGCACGGAGGCCCCTCAGGTGGGCTACCTGGTAATCACTCCAATTTCCCAGCACCTTCAGGTTGAGTAGGGAGGCAGGTTCACCTGCTGAAGTGATTCCAGGGCACAGGGATCGGGCAAGAAGTCCGCGGGCCGCAGCTGAGGTTGCCGCTGTGATCTCCTTCCGGTCGGCTCTCCTCAGAGGAGGACAGAGCTGCCGCTTGACTTCCGGCCCAGCTCTCCTGTTTTCTCATCACCTCAGCGGCAAGACAGACAGAGCCCGCCAGAACCAAGGTGGTGTGTTCACCTCCAGCACGAGCTCTCAAACCAGCAAAGAATCACACAGAACCAAAGTGAAAACAGGAGGGGCCTGACTTCTCAGGGACCATTGTGGGGAGGGGAGAGGACCCTTCACTTCTTTCTAGGGTCCCGGGAGGCCCCAGGGGCCTGGCTGGTTTACACACTGGGGGCCCGCGGACCACAGCCATGGGGTCCTGACCGAGGGGACGTGAGACCCCAGGTGGGGGGTCTGGGGACGGTGTGAGTCTCACCCCATCTGTGTGGGTCAGGATTGTGTGCAGGGAGACCCCACACACAAAGCTAAGAAAGAGGGAAGAACATGAGAGAGCTTCACTTGTGTTTAGGAATTAACACTTGAGTGTATTCACTCTACACAGGCCTGTACCTGTTTGCCTCTTTACCCCTGAGAGGTTCCCCCTCCCTGGGGCGCCTGGGGACTCCTCAGGTGGGCTACCTGGGAATTATTCCACTTGCCAGCATGCGCGTGGTGGGACGGGAGGCAGGTTTACTTGGCAAATTGATTGCAGGCACGTGGATCAGGAAAAAGCCAGTGGGATCAGGTGAGGTTGCTGCTGCTATCTCCTTCCAGCTGACCACCCATACTCAACAGAGACCAGACCTGCCTCTCATCTTCCTGCCCTGCATCTGTGGTGTTTTCTCAGCATTTCAGTGGCACGAGAAAGGACCAAGCCTTCCAAAACCAAGATAGTGCACTCAACATGATCAGGACAGCTGTAGAAACAGTTACTATCACAGAACCAAAGGGAAAGGGGAGGACTTCTCTGGGACAATGTGGGGAGAGGAGACCGACCCTGCACTTCTTTCTACCGTCCCAGGAGGTTACAGGAACCCCCTCGTTTCTGCCTTAGGGGTCCAACCAGCAGAGACCTGGTGCCCTAACCAAGGGTCGTGGGGCCCCAGGTGCAGGGCTTGGGGAGGTGGTGTCGCCTTGGAGACTGTGGACGTGTGTCCCCGGTTCAGTCCTGGGGATTGTGTGGGT